AAGACCATAGTCTGAATCAAGCTCAGTTTAATCTTCAACTAACAGAACTGCTCCTCACTATTTTGGAGAGGTCTCTGACAACGGACTTGTCCAGGACCATCCATCTCCTGATCTCTGGACTGCTGGTACCAAGGGTGTTGATTGTGGATCCAAGTAAGACAGTTTCAATCTTTTCTCCCTCTGTTGATAATGCTTATTGGTCCACTGGTGAGGATATTTGTCTTTGTGACATTGAGATGAAATCCATATTGAAGGCTGTAGTCTGATCTTCTGCAGCAAGCGTTTCAAGATCTCATTTTCAGCAAGCACGGTTGTGTCATCTGTTTAACACAGGTTATTGATGAGTCTTCCTTGATTCTGATGCCACCTTCATTGAGTCCAGTTTCTCATATGATTTTCTGAGTACAGATTGAATGGGTGGGTACACTGTACTCTTATCCTAATGACATGCACATTATGCATCTTTATGTATTAAATATTCTTCTGCATTAGTTTCTTATGCACTATGAACTTTATATCATATGGGTGTGTTACATGAAAAAAAAAATGTTGTTTGGGGGTTTTCTTGGCAGAGTTGTCCAGGGCCTGCCCTAGAGAGGGTGCAGAGCCGCCTCCGGACCCGCCTGCAGGTTGCTGGCGGCCATGCCACCTGCCCATCTGGGAAGCAGCTGTCTTGTAGGGACAATGGGACAAGTGTACAGTGGCTGGTGGTGCTCATGACCTGCACCCAGGCCTGAAGGTCTGATGGGACTGCTGGAGCCCACTGTGGCAGTGATGGGGAGGAACAGTGGCCCCTGATGACACATCCAGGCCACAGAGTGTGGGCACGTGGACAGGAACCAGGAGGACAGACGGCAGGGCACTTTACGGCCAGTTAGTGGCTGCTGAGTCCGTCCAGACTCCTGGTGACCTGCGCCCGAGCAGAGCTGCCCCAGGGCTGTGGCCTTCTGGCCGTGTCGGGTTATCCAGTAAGCATGTAGGCAAGGGTTCTGGAGCCAATAATTGCACTTCTCTCCACAGCAATGATTCTGCCTGTAGGTACGGCTGGCGTCTTTCTCTCTCCCACTGTAACACCTTCCGGAATGCAGGCCTCTTGTCAAAGTTCCCGTCCTGGGCAGGGATGGAGTGAGGACTCAACAAGCAGGCGAGCACGGGTTGACCCGAGTTTGTTGGCTAATCTGCAGTGAACAGTTTCACGTGATTACTTATTGGGTAATCTGTCCTGGAGAGGCCTTTTTTCAAGGCATCTGTGGGTGGACTTGAACTGCTGACCTTTCGGTGGATTGTCCAGTGCTTAACCATTTGCATGTCTGAGGGAGTCCATGCACAGACTGCTTAGCCCATGCCCCTCAAGAGGCTCTCCCTGGCTCCCAGCACCGAGTTTCTCCCCCCACGACCCCGTCACATCAGCCTGCATCCTTCCTATTAGGTGGGCCCCCTCCTCAACTTCTGCCTGTATAGACTGAATCCAGGGGAGCCAATCTCCCCAGGAAGCGTGTCCAGGGTCTGGGATGAGGTAGGAACTTTGTTAGTAATTAATTATCTTTCAGAAGTGAACTTAAGAGAATTGATGAGAATTTGAAGAGTACCTGAGAAGTGCTTGCTTAACTAAAAGGTTGGTGGTTCAAATCCACTCAGAGCTACCTCAGAAGGCAGGCCCGATTTTTACTTTCAAAAGGCCACAATCACTGAGAACCGTAGGGACATGCTTGTCTGACCCAGCAGCTGGAGGTGGTTCTCAGTGAGATCTGAAGGTCCTGCTATCTCAGCATGCATGTGGCTGAGCTCTCAGGGGGTGCTGACATGGCCCGAGGGGGTCTGCACTCTCCTTCTGGGGCGTACCTGGTGGTGCTGGTGGGGTTTTCCTGGTGTGACCATGGCGGCCAAGTGCCAGCACCATCAGAGGTGGAGCCTGGTCAGCTCCCGGTCTTTGCTCTGCCTCCTGACTGTCCTTGGCCCTTTCACTGACCCTCTGAGTGACAGTGTGGACACTCAAGGTGGAAGGCTGCTGGGGACAGACATGCAAGATCACGGGCACTGGGCACCTACTATGTCCCTGGCCACATGAGCCACTGGCATGGGAGACCCCTGCCCTCAGGACCTTGTGAGCCTGTGCCACCTGTCCCCGGGGCCCCTGTGGACTGTAGTCAAAGCTAGACATGTCCACCCTTCCCATCAGGACCACCTGTAACCACATATAACCCACCCCAGCAGCTCCTAGTCCCGCTCGGCTCAGCTCTATGTGAAGATGAGGAAATGGGCCCAGAGACTGGCTACTGGCCGAGGCTGTGGGACCACTCCCCAGAGCAGGCCGGCCCGGCCCCTCACCTTCCTGAAGAGCCATACCTGGAAAGGTCAGAGGTCAGCACTCCAGTACCAGGATGGCACTGTGGGAGGGGCGTGTACCTCAAGACCACCCCGGAGGGCCACAAATAGGCCCACTACATGAGAGCAGGTGGCTACAGGCCTCTTGTGCGGAGCACAGTGTGTCCCTGCCAGCGAGGTGTCGCCCGAGCCGGGCCAGCTGGCCCCATTACACAGGGACACAGACCTCCTGCCCCTCACCCTAAGGAATGTCCACCTCGCGGCCTGCCCAGTGTCAGCTCAGGACCCACAAGGCCAGCTGAGGCCCTGTGGCCTGAGGAAAAGGACTGACACCTTGGGGATAGAGGTCAAAGTGCATACATTTATTTTCTAGAACAAAGGCTAAAAGGAGCCAGTTTCTTTCATTTTATTTTAAGAAGGACAAAAATTGTTATTAAAACATCTACATTATTATCAAGATACTAGACCTTATGGATATTTAATATTAAAGTGTGGTATTCTTAAGTTTTTAACACACAGACACCTTTAAAGGACCATGAAATTGATTACTACTCAGCTGAGAAATGCAGCCCCCCAGCCCCCATCACTATCTGCCAGGCCATCTTGTCCCCTCCATGCTGTCCCTGTCTGTTGGGGTGGGCGTGGGACCAACTCAACTCTCTGAACTGCTGTCCCCTCCCCTCGAGGGGCCACAATTGAAGCCACTGACTCAGGATGAAAAGTGAGTGCTGGTTTCCCTGCCCTGGACACGCCAGCCTGACTGTTTCTCTTTCTGGCCCTGATCAGGCTGCACACCCCACATTCTGAGGACCCTAAAGGCTAGACACAACCTGCACTTGAACCTTGGTGGAGACAAATGCTCCCCCACAATGAGCTCTGGGTGTCTGGGCGGGGCCACTCCCGCCTCCTAAATCCTCACCAGCTATGGTTCTAGCATCTGGCTCCCTGGCACCCGGAAGCCCACACATGCTGGGGGGCTGCATTTCCTGGCCAAGTCCTTTATCTTTAGCCCTCGTTAGAAGTGATTCCTTGATACCACACACGTATATAATATTATATAGAGCGATATATTTAATACCTGTGTATATATGCTTCACAGGGCGACATATATACACACTGAAACAAGGCTGGTGACGACAGATTGCACCGCCACGGACCAGGGGACAAGTGTCTTCGACATTTGGGCCATGGCCCCTGTTTGGGTCTGGGTGCTGCCCCCCAGTCATGTCACCAGCACCCATGCTGCAGGGCTGGCCTGCTGGGGGCCAGAGGAGGGGAAGGGTGCATGCCACGGTCATCAGGAGGAGGCTGGGCAGTGATAGCAGGAGGGACAGTCCCTGGCCACCACCACCCCTCATCATATCATCTACACGCTGCCAATCTTTGCTAGAGGGGAAAGTAGGGTTCCATCCTCTCCATCTCACCCCTGGCCCAGCCTGGGTCCCTGGTCCCTTCCGGGGTATTCTGGAATGTCTGGGGAACCAGGGAAGGTAGGATCTGCCTGTGAGGGTGGGGTGGAGAGGAAGGGGGCGCACATGTCAGATGAGAGAGACAGGAGGGGGCTGGGTGGGTAGGCCGGGAACTGGGGGATAGCTGGGGTCCTAGGCTGCTGGAAGTCAGGGCAGGTTGGGACAGAGTCCTAATTGCATGTTGAGGGGAGGGGAAAGGATTCTGCTGGGTCTCCAGGCAAGAGCGGTGGGGTCTAATGCTGGTGGCCCTCCTCTCCACCTGCCTCTCTATGCAGAACCAGAGGTCCTTACCCCTCTCCTGGAATAGGCAGCCACAGGACCTTGACCCTCAGTGGGTGTAACCCCAACATCCACCCTCAGAAGGCAGTATCTCCCTGCATCCCCCTAGACTTCCTGAACCTCCTCCCCAGCCCAAGGCTTCCTGTACACCCGCTCCTGTCAGGGAGCCCGTGGCTCAGTCTATAACAGGCCTTGAGCTTCTGCTTAATGCTCTGGGTAGGAGACCCTGGCGGATCACTCTTTCCCACTAGGCCTCAGTTTTTCTACCTGCAGAATTGGGGGTGGGGCAAGATAATATCTGACGTCTGAAGGAGCTACTGTCCATGATGAAAGGGCCAAGGTGTTGTCATTACAGAACTTGATCCCTCAGCCAGGCTCCAGGGATCTAACCCAGCCCCTCTTTCCCTCTGTCCAGGAGGGAAACAGGCCGCAGGGATAGATGGTCGGCACTCCTTACTGGGGCTGCAAGGTAAAGCTAATGTGGCCTCCTGCCCTCGGTTATGTCCTGACTTACCCTTAGCAGGGCGTGGGGTGGGGCGGGGCAGGGAGAATGATGTTCTTGCTGCAGATTCAAGTGGGGACCCCATGCTCCCCAGCCCTGAGAGTGGGCCCCTTTAGGAGCTGTTAGAAGTTAAAGCTGTAGGCTGGAGCTGGGGGGCCAACTAGACCCCCACCCCCAGCCAGAACCAAGGGGGTTCGAATCTGTCCAGGGTGTCAACAGGACAAGGACCCAGGGGCCCCTAGGGGCTGCAGTATGTGCGCCTAGTCTGCACCAGGGGTGCAGAAGATGGATGGTGCTGGGGGGGCCGGGGGCTGCCGAGTGAGGGCGGCCCCCTGCCCCTAGCCCCAGCTCAACCCAGCCCCCTATCAAGTACTATGTCTCTACCCTGTCCCAACCCCAGGGCAGCTCACAACTGAGACCTGGCCCTACTCCCCGGTAGTGACTGTGGTGGTGGTTGTGGCGGTGGTGGTGGTGGTGGCGGCGATGGTGGTGATGGCAGCGACAGTGGCGGCAGCGACGGTGGTTACCGGGACTTCGGGGGCGGCAGTGTCTCCACCCTCCTGCAGCAGGAAGTTGTACTTGCCGAAGTCGTCATCTCGAGGACACAGCAGCATGTCCTTGCGGGCCTTGGCCAGCTTCTGCTTCAGCACCTCGCGCCGGTCCAGCCACTCAGTGAGTTCCTCCTGGCCATGGGCGCAGCGGCACTTGTCCCCATCGGGGCAGGGCTTCCCCTTCTGCAGCCTGTGGGCGGGAGGGGTCACTACCTACATGCTGGCCTCCTCATAGCCTCCGCCTGGGATCTGATCCTGGGCTGCAGAGCAGGAGGTTGGGCATATGTGGGCCTTAACCCCGTCGGTATCCACAACCCACCAAACCCCTAAAAACCCAAACCCACTGTCAGCAACCCTGTAGGGAGAGGAGAGCTGCCCACAGGGCTTGCAAAGCCATAATCCTTCTGAAGGAAGACAGCCACACCTCTCAGAATAGGAGGTGGGTTTGAACCACTGATCTTTTAAGCAGGGTTTAACCACCAACACGGGCTCCTCTGGCCTCACCATCCCCTGTGGTCCAGCTCCAGGGCCTCCCTGTGGCCTCCACCAAGTATGACCCACCCTGGCCCAGCTGCCCACAGCACCTGTCACAGAGCCGGAACTCGCCCATGGGGAAGCGGAAGGCCCAGCCGCTGGCGTCGCTGTCCGAGGTAAAGACTTTCTCCTTGTGCTTCTCCGACTGGATGTGCTGCTGCCACTGTTTCTTGCTGTTGCTGTTCTTGCCGCAGAGCCAGCAGTGGTAGCCCATCTGGGGGCACAGCCACCGTGGGTACCTGCTCTCCACCCCATCCTTCAGCTGCCTTCCCCGGTGACGGTCAGACCGGGCTGTTCTCTGTCCATCCCCCACCCTCCACGTCCGTCGGCCACTCTCCCAGGCGAGGGTCAGATTGGACTGTCCTCTGCCCGTCCGCGGTCCCTCCCATTACTCAGCCATTCTCCCAGAGGAGGCCCAGAGTAGACTGTCCTCCACTTGTCCCCCATCCACCCCATCCCTCAGCTGCCCTCCCAGGTGAGGGTCAGACTAGAATGTCCTCTGCTTGTCCCCATCCACCCCGTCCCTCAGCCCCTCTCCCAGGCCACGGTCAGATAGCCTGTCCTCCACCTGTCCCCCATCCACCCTATCCCTTAACCACTCTTGCAGGGGAGGGTCAGAGTGAACTGTCCTCTGCCGTCCCCCATCCACTGCTCCCTGAGCCCAGGCCATACCATGATGTCAGCGTAGTCTGTGGGCATCTGGATCTGCTTCTCCCCTTCCCTGGAGCTGATCGGGGTCCCCTCCCCCGGCTTCCCAGGGTTATGTTTCTTCAGCCACATGTCATAGGTCTGCTGCATGTCCAGGACTGGGCAGGGCCAGGAACAGAGGGCCTGATGAGGCCACTTCACCACCCACTCAGCCCACGACCCCCGCATGACTCCATGCCATTGGCGCCAGGCCAGAAGCTACAATGTCCATGCTCTCCACACCCTTCTGGACTGCGTGCCCCTCGCCACCACACTAGGCTGATTGTCATTAGACCCAGTGTACCTCCAGCTACTGCTGGGGCCTGACTGAGGCACAGTGCAACCTGCAGGGGTGACTCCAGGGAGGCCCCACTGCCCACTCACTCTTGTTCTCCTTCATGAAGGTCCACATGTCCCTCTCCTCAGGGCTGTGCGCGAAGGAGCAGTTGCCCACATACTGACACTTGCGGCCATTCTGCGCGTGGATGCAGAGCTGTGGGGCAGGTGGGGGCCTGAGTGCGGCTGCACCAGCTCACTGTGCCCACCCCGCACCCCAGGCCTGGCCCTTGCACTCACGTCATATTGCTGTGGGAAGTTGCGGATAGATGGCAGTGGTCGCACGGACACCCATTTCCTCTTGGCCTTGGACATCACCAGCAGGACCCGCCGCTCCTTGGTCCAGCTGCAGGGCAGAGTGGGGCAAGCGAGCAGGGCTCAGGGTCTTTGGGGGCCCAGTCTCCTCATGGTACCCGGGGGCCTTGCTGACCAGCACCCCCCTCACCAGTGCCGGGCCTTGGCGCTGCAATACTTGAGGTCCTTGTCGGGCTCCACCACCTGCCCATTCCGCCAGCACTGGCCACACACGAATTTCATCTGCAGGTCAAAGGTGCTGGGCCCGTGCGTCCGCGGGGCACCCTGTGGGGCGGGGGGATATGGGGACTGAGTTGCAGGCACTGGGTCTGAGGGCCTGGAATCTGTCATAGATGTGTCCTGGGGTCACCTTCAGAGGGCCCTGAGGACGGGTGCACAGCTTACTGAATTAACTGTACCCGCAGAAACTGCTGGAATGGTATGTCTGCTGCATATTCTCAATAAAATAAATTTTTTTCTTTTTTTTTGACAATTTCTTTTTTTTATCAATTTAGTTTGTTTATTTTTCATTTCAATGAACATCTACAGAGATTTTGGAATTCCATTCATTCATTGTTGCACCCTTCTCCCCGCACAACAAAAGAAATATTTTTATAAAAATCCATTATATGAAATTGTTCTAGATCAAAGGAGACCAAAAAGGCACCACACTGAATGCAGCATTGTCTCTGGGTTACTCTCTCTTTGCATCTACTCTCTGGTTCTTTCCATGCAGGCCACGTGGCTCCGTGCAGCAGCTGTCCTTGGGAGAGCTGTGGGGGCTGGTCCCTCTCCACAGCCTGGGAACCCGAGCTCTGGGAAAGCTGCCTCCTGCCTCTGCACATGGCATTCCTCCTCCTGGAATGCCCTTCCCCCATTCTTTATCCAACTTGGTCCAAACTGCCTTCAAATCTCAGCACAAGCACCACCTCCTCCAGGAAGCCTTTTCTGTAGCTCTCCTAAGTTGCAGGTTCCCATTCTCTGGGGACCCAAAGAACATGAACATGTCTGACTGACCATGAGCTCTGGGCCAGGACAGAACAGGGGCTGCTGTGGGGTTGAGGTGGGGCTTGCCAAGTGCAGTAGACAGAGAGAGCTGGGGACCCTCCCTCGAGCCCACCCTCTGCCCCAAGTCTGTTCTTTGAGGAGAAGTCTGCCCCCAACACACCTGGGCCAGGGAAGGGAGGTGCCCACCAGCTGGGTCCCCTGCCCCAGCCACCTGGGGCAGCTGCCTGCTCTGTGGTCACACTCACTCCTCTTTGACTGGACAGAGCTTTCCGAGTCTCCCCAAGGTTTGGGGCCTTCTCACCTTGGGATGACATGGCTGGTCCCCTGCCGTGTGACCACGGGCCTCAATTTTATCAGTGCCAGTGCAGGGGACAAAGTCCACTGTCATCGAATCCATCCCAGTTCAAGGTGTCACTCTTTCGTCAAGGGTCTGCCTCTCTTTTGCTGAACCTCTACCTTTCCAAGCTTGATATCTCTTACCGAGGAACAGCCCCTCCTAGCATCATGCCCCAAATAACGTGAAATGAAGTTTTTCCTTCCTTGCCTTCAAGGAGCACCCTGGCTGCACTTTTCCTAAGATATACCTGTTCACTCTTTCTTTTTTTCTTTTTTAAGAGAACAAGACATCCATTTAGTAAATAACTCTTATGGTAAATTATTAAATATACAGATTTTTTTTTTATTGAAGTGTACACCCCTCCAGCCTCTGGAAGTCTTGGTGACCAGCAGCCCTCAGCTATGACTATTTTTTAACTTAACATTTGGTTGAAGAATAAGTCCTTTGTCTCTAATCATATCAGTTTCCAGGGGACAATTTGGACCCAATGGTTAGAGAATATGTTTCAATTTGAGACAGCATTTCAGAGCCGTCAAAGCTCCAGTCCATAGGATTTGCTAAGTAAGGCCTTGTTGTAACTGTGTACATCAGCTTTTTTTCTTTTTTAATTTTTATTATTTTTATGTGTGTACCCTCAAATCAGATCTGAGTGGTACAGGAGGAGATTGTTCCTCCTCCAGCAGAACATCTGGTGGATTTGAACTGTGTTCCTCTAGGATTGCAATGCAGTTTCTTGCCACTAGGCCACCAGAGCTCCCTCAGCTTTTTTTTTTTAATGAAAATTTATAGAGAACTTAAGATTTCCATTCATTCACTGTTGCACATTTTCCTCCCTGTCCACCTGTTGATTCTTTTGGCAGTCCATAGAATATTCAGTACTTTTCTCACAACTCATAGGCATCAATTCTTACTTTGTCATCCTTATTCATTTTCCAGCTCTCGGATGCATAGCAAGGATCAAAAAGACTATGGCCTGTATCAACTGCACCTGAGTCTTCAAACTGACATCATCACTTCTCATTGATTTGAAGAGTCCTGATCGCCTGACTGATGGTACCAAGGGTGTGATTGTGGATTCAAGCAAGGTGAAATAAATGAAAATTTCAACCTCTTCTCTATCCGTCTATGATCATTAGAGAAACAACAGTAGTTATAGACTAGGGTTCATATCTTTTGTTCACAGGGTCACTATGAGTCATATTCAACCCGAGGGCACTTAACAACAACTTCATCCATCTTGTTGCTTATTGGTCCAGTGGTGAGGATTTCTGTCTTGATGTTGAGATGCAATCCATATTGAAGGCTGCTGGCTTTGATCTTCTACAACACCTGTTTCAAGTCCTCCTCACTTACAGCAAGCAAGGTTGTGTCATCTGCATAACACAAACTGTTGAGTTCGAGTCTTCCTCCAAGGCTGATGCCACATTCTTCTTCACAGAGTCCAGCTGCTTCAATGATTTACTCAGTAAATAGCTATGGAGAAAGAATAGAACCCTGAAGTGCACCTTTCTTGACTTTAAACCATGCACTGTTCCCTTGTTCTGTTTGGACAACAGCTTCTTGGTCTAGATATGGGTTTCACATGAGCACAATTAAGTGTTCTGGAATTCCTATTCTCTCAATGTTAGCCTTATTGAGCCATGTTTGTTGTAATCCACACAGTCAAATGCTTTTGCATAGTCAAGAAAATACAAATAAACATTCTTCTGGTATTCTCTGCTTTAAGTCAGAATACATCTGACATCAGCAAAGTGGCAAAAGCCTCTTCTAAACTCAGTTTGAACACTGTCACTGTACTGTTCTAGTCATTTTGGGATGGTCTTCAGCAATATTTTGCTTGCATGTGATATTAATTGTATTGTTTGATAATTTCCACAATCTGTTGGATCACTTGTATTGGGAATGACAAAAATCTGGATCTCTGCCAGTTAGTTGGCCAGGCAGCTATCCTCCAAATTCCTTGGCAGGTACTGGTAAGTGTGTCCAGGGCTGCATCTGTTAGTTGAAACATGTCAACTAGAATCATAATTCCTGGAGACTTAGTCTTTGCCAATTCCTTTTGTACAGTTTGAACTTCTTCTTTTATTACCACTGGCTCTTTTTCATGGGGACTTCCCAAAATTTTTCCATGTCGACCAGTTCTTTCTGGTATAGTGATGCTATGTATTCATATTCCTTCCATCTTCCTGGGTTATTCAAGATTTTGCCCACAGCACCTCTCAGTATTACAACTCACGGCTTGAGTTTGTTTTTCCAATTCTTTCAACTTTAGAAATGCTGAGAAAGTTCTTCTCTTTTTATTCTCCAGCACCAGCTCTTTGCACATTCCAGTATGTTAATTTACTCTGTCTTCTCGAGCTGCCCTTAGAAATCTTCACTTCAGCATTTATCCACTTTGTTTTGCCCTCTCAACACTCTAATACAATTTTCAGAGTCTCTTCTGACATCCATTCTAGTCTTGACTTCCTACTCCTTGTAAAGATCTTTTACTATTTTCATGGATGACATGCTTGATGTCATCCCATTACTCATCTGGTCTTCAGGCGTTAGTATTCAAAGCATCAAATCTATTCTGGAGATAATTTGTAAATTCAAGTGGGCCAGGCTGAGTCGTATTTTGGTTCTTGTAGACTAGTTTTAGTTTTCTTCAGGTTGAATTTGAACGTGCACATGATCACCTGATGGTCTGTCCCACAGTCAGCACCTGCCTGGACAGCTGATATTGAGCTTTCTCCAATGATTCTATTTGTAGATGTAAGTCAATCTGACTTCTGTGCAGTCAATCAGGTAAAATCCATGAGTAAAGTCATCTTCTGTGTTTTTTAAAAAAAGTACTTGAGATAAATAAATCATTGAACACACAAAATTGAATCATTCAATAGCCAGGCTCATCTCTGTCACCCACTTTTCAACTCCCATTCCTTCTTCATGGGTTCCAACTTTTGCATTCCAGTCACCAATAATTATGAGTGCATCTTGATTATATGTTTGGTCAATTTCAGACTGCAAAAGTTTGTATAAATCTTCATTTCCCTCCACTTTGGCGTTAGATATTGGTGCATGTGTCTGAGTAGACTAACAGGTCTTCCCTACATGTGTATGGTTAGTATCCTGTAACTCACAACGTTGCAGTTTAGGAATGCTCTTGGAATTCTCTTACGCACTATGAATGCAAAGTCTTTCTTCCTCAGTTTTGTACCTTAATCAAGTTATCCACATTCATCTACACAGTGAAAGGACAAACTAGATGCCACTTAATGCATGAATGGAGGGGACACGGCAGTACCTCTGAGGGGACTGTAAATGGGGTGAGCTTTGATGGAATAACTGGTCCACAACCTTCTAATGTCAATGTAACTGTTTCTATGAACAGCTGTGCCCTTTGGCATGAGATCAGACCTAGATGGAGCCTGACTACCATTACGCAACACTTGGTTCAAAGTTCCTATAGCAATCCCAGAGGTACATGGTTCGAATCCACCAGATGCTCTGCCGGGAAAGGAGGGACAATCTCCTCCAGTACCAGTCAGATCTGATTTGACGGTACACAGACACAGACACAGACACACACACACACACACACACATAATAATAAAATAAAAAAAAAGTTCCTATAGAAGAGTCTTGATCAAAAGTGGATGGAAATACAGAATAGAATTTCAAATTCTCATGGAAGCCAGGTCCATGGAGGCTGGATGAATACCTGACACTATTTCCCTGAGATAATCTGTACATCTTAAACCAAAAATGCAAGTTCTACTCAGTGAATGTGTATTACAGCAAACTGAAGCAGGCAGGCCTTGCTTTCTAAATGAAATGCTTTCCTATCAAGCTGCTTCGAATGAAGGTCTTCCAGAAGTCATCCACACAATTTGCCACTTACTCAGGATATATTTCTTCCCGAAATGCATGAAATCCCACCCGTGTACTGTTCTGGAATTTATACTGAATAATACTTGAAACGTGAAACAACAACAACAACAAAAACCCAAACAATAGTTGAGGAGCTCTGGTGGCCCTAGTGGTGGTGAACTGTGCTGCCAACCCAAAGGCACACAGTTTGAATGCCCCAAGCTGCTCCACAAGAGAAAAATGGGCAATCTTCTCCTGTGTAACGTTAGAGGGTCAGCTCTGAGTGGGTTCCCACTCAATGATCCATAACAAAAACAACAGTGTAACTCAACAAGAAGCAGAAGAGAAAAACAAGCAGTGGATATAAATAGGTATTAAACTTTTTGTTTTTCAAGTGGCTTAGAGCCAAGGAGCTATGTTGTCAACCCAGAGGCACACGGTTCAAATCCACCAGTTGCTTAGCAGGAGAAAGATGGGCAATTTCCTTCCTTATTGGAGGGTAAGCTATGAGGGGGTTTTGACTCACCAACACACAACGACATCTGTACAGGTTGAAATTCACAACGGCAACTTGAGAGATTAGACAGGAATTCTAGCGGGCAGTGAGTTTATGTTCATGAGGGAGGAACAACTGAGGAAAGGAAGGTGTAAGCGGCTGCACAACTCAAAGGATGTTAACAACGTCAGTGAACAAGAAGCTGCACTGCAATCCCAGAGGCGCACGGTTCGAATTCACCAGATGCTCTGCCGGGGAAGGAGGGACAATCTCCTCCTGTACCAGTCAGATCTGATTTGACGGTACACGCACAAAAAAATAATAAAATTGTAAAAAAAAAAATTAAAAAAAACAACGTTGGTGAATTCCACGTGTTCAAATGGTCAAGAAGTGATGGGCACTTTGTATATTCTCAAAGCAACACAATGAAAAAAGTAAAATAAATGATGAAAAGTGAGTATTACGGCCATGAAATAAAAGGAATCAGATGGAAGGAAGAATGGCAGTGGGTGATGCAGTGTGTACATTATCTCAGGTATTCAAAATCCACCAAAATCTGGAAGAATATCCCTTGCTCACGCATAAGGAAGACTCAATATTGTGAAAATGGCAATACTACCAAAGGGAATTCACACGTTTAATGCAATCCCAATACAAATACCAATCCCATTCTTCAACCAGATGGAAAAGGCAATCTCCAGCTTCATTTGGAATGGAAAGAAGCCCCAAATAAGCAAAAAGCACTCCTTAAAAACAGAAGAAAAGTAGGAGGTATCTCACTTCCTGATTTCAATTCCTACTACACACTGCCGTGCAGCATGGTACTGGTACAATGAGAGACACATAGATCAATGGAATAGAATTGAGAATCCGGAGATTAGCCCATCTATCTCTGGCCAACTGATTTTTGACAAGGAGATGAAATCAGTTAAGTGGGGAAACAACAGCCTTTTTAACAAATGGTGTTGGCAAAATTGGAAAAGTATCTACAAAAGTCTCAAGTAAGAACCACACCTCACTCCACATACAAAAACCAATTCAAGGTGAACCTAGGACTAAAACCAAGAACTATAAGCTTCGTTAAAGAAAAGCTTGGAAGAACGCTACAAGTCCTAATCCACAACATAAACAGTCTTCCAAGTATCATGAAAAACCTACAACCAGGAGGAGATAAAATAGATGAATGGGATCTTCTAAGAATCAAATCCCTATGCACATCCAAAAACTTCTCCAACAGGGTAAAAAGGAGGCCACAGACTGGGGAAAAAGTATTTGGTAATGACATATCAGATAAGGGACTTATATCCAGAATTTATGAAATACTTGAGCACCACAACAAGATAAAGGAAAATAATCCAATAGAAAAATGGATACAGGATATGAACAGACACTTCACCAAAGAAGACATTCAGATGGCTAACAAGCACATGAAAAAATGTTCAAAATCCCTAGCTCTAAGAGAGATGCAAATCAAAACAACTATTAGACATCATCTCACCCCCAGTCAGAATTGCAAAATTTAACAGAACAGCAAGCAACAAATGCTGGTGAGGTTGTGGAGAAACTGGAACCCTTATTCACTGTTGGTGGGAGTGTAAAATGGTGCAACCACTGTGGAAGGCAGTATGGCACTTTCTCAAAAAGTTGCAAATAGAGATACCATTTGACCCAGCAATTCCATTACTGGGAATATACCCCAAAGAGACCATAACTGACATCCAAGCAGATATATGCACACCATGTTTATTGCAGCTTTGTTCACAATAGCAAGGAGTTGAAAATAACCTAAGTCCCCATCACAAACGAATGGATAGAGAAGCTGTGGTACATATGCTACATTGAAAAACAAGGAACTCATGCAATATTATTCAAAATGGGTGACCCTAGAGGACATTATGCTGAGTGAAGTATCTCAGTCACCAAAGGACAAATACTGCATGGTGCCACTGTTTTAAAGCAGGATTGACCTCGGGGTTGGGAGGAGACTGAGAAGAATGGGTTCAATAATGTACACAACAATGAATGAATGGAAATCCAAAGTCTCTGTAAATTTTCATTGAAATTAATAATAAATTTAAAAAAAATGTAAAAAAAATCCAGCAAAATCTGAGTACGAGAACACTACCACGTCAGTGCTGACACACAGATCTCCATCACTATGGTTACCGCAGAGAGGGAGGGCCCTTGGCCTTGGAAGCGCACACTGATGCATTTAGGAGTGATGGCTCATCTACAAGCACACTCACGTGATTAAGAAGTATGCGTATTCATGTATATAAATATACACGTCAGTACAACACACACACACACACACACAGAGGAAGGAAAAGGCAAATATAAAGTGTGGCACAGCGCCGGCATCTGGGGAAGCCAGAAAAGCGTACACAGGCTTTCTCTGACCTACTTGTGCAACTTTCCAGCGTGATTAAAGCTGGTAAGGGAAAGCATGGATGAGTCTTTGTGTATTTTTAATCCATGGAGGTTTGGTTTGAGTCCATTCAGGCTCAACGTACCTCAGAAGAAGTCCTCGCAATCTACTTCCAAAATACTGTTGTTATGTGCTGTCAAGGTGACTAGGACTCATAGCAATGCTATGAACAATAGCCCTGAACCTTGCCCTATCTTGAGCCAATCTCACTGTCTCTGACACCTCTGTTGCCATTGTCACAGTCACTGTATCAACCCATCTCATTGCAGGTATTCATCTTCCAAAATATTAGCCACTGGAAAGCTTCTGCAGTCAAATGCTCTTCCCCTGATAATACCCCCAACTGAAAACCTTCTGGAACAATTCTAAAACAGCATACACTGGGGAGGTGACGTGATGGAAGTGGTAAGGGGATGGAAGTGATTCCTGCTGTGGGCGGAGAGGTCTGTGCCCGATCCCGCCCCAGCCCCTCCAGGGGCCTCACCAAGCTGCTGCTGGCCTTCCCGGCATGGGCCTCCATCTGCTGCCAGTATTTCTTGGACTCTTGGACGATATCTTCGTGGGTCATGCCTGGGGAAGGTAAAGGAGTGTTCTTGAGGAGTTTGGCCATGTGAGAGGCAGGGCGTTTTTAAGCACCACACCCTGGGGACAATGGGAGAAGCCCCACTTGCAGATGAGGCCCTGCCTCAGTTAGAACAGGGGCTCAAGGAACAACTCATTCTTCTGTGGTCTGTTTGCTCATCTGTAAAATGGGAGCAGATGGCCTGCTCTGCTCCTCCTGGGGACTGCTGTGGTATACTGTCAAGTTGGAACCAGTCCATAGCAGACCCTCCAGCAAGATTTGAGAGGTGGTGAACTGCATGGCAGGAGACGTCCCATTTTTCTCCCACAGAGCAGCTGGTGGATTCCATCTGTGCTTTTAGGTTGGCAACTCAACCCCTTACCACCGGCATTTGCTGGGGACTAAGAGAATAAAAAGCCGAAAGGAACAGGCATATACAGTAGAGATGCATCATGGCACAGGGATGTCCCCAGTCTCGAAGACTCAGTACCCTGCCTTGGTGCCTTCAATGGCCCCACATCAGGGACTACTTGAAGTCCAGTAGGCACCTAAGACTCCTGACGCCTCACACTGGGGCTCGATATTACATCCCACTCCCTTAGCCTGGGATCCACACAGCAGCCCAGTCCTTCCAGGCCCCTCACCGCACCCTTGGAGTGGACTTTGTCTTCCCTGACGTCTCTAGTCCCCCAGCAAACCCACTGGCCCCATCAAAGCACATCTAGCACATCCCCCACCCTCTGGGCAGGGTCACAATCCTACCTACTACGATGGGCTCCCCGCAATCTCCCCCTTCTGCCCGTTCCTCTGTCCTGTCTTTCATTTAGCAGCCAGGGATATATTTATTTATTTTTTAAAAATCAGTCAGATCACATAACCCCATTCACTTGAAATCCTCCAGACAACGCATCTCAAGATGCATCTCAGTATCTCCTGTGTGATTCACAACCTCCAAAAACCCACTGGAGGGTCAGCTATGGGTTCATTCCAACTGACCACCACACAACAATTCATAGGAAAGTTCCCTTGATACGATACTGTCATCTGTCAAGTGTGCAACAACATCACGGGACAGTTTTAAATAGTGTGAAAATTATCAAATTATGACAGACACGAAGTGAGCACATGTTGGGAAAAATGGTGCCGACAGACCTGCTTGATGCAGTGCTGTTACAAACCTTCAGTTTACAAAAATACAAAACCAAAATATGCAGCAAATTTTGAATTATGAAACATAATAAAGTCAAGTATACAAACGAGGTCTGCTTATACCTACAACCCTTGACGTTCACACACTGGGATCCTGCTGATTTCTGGGGCGGCCTCATCCTGACGCCCCCCCTCCTAGTTCATGTAACTACTCACCCCCTTGAGTGACTTTATGTCCCAAACTTGCTCCTGCCTCAGGGCCTCCAGCCTTGCCTTTCCCTCTGCCTAGAACACTGTTTCCTGCTCAAACGTCACCCTGACTGTTTTACCTGAAATGGTCTCCACCCTGAGTTTCCCTCTAGCCTCTTGCCTGTCCTCACAGGCTTTTTTCACATCTGAAATGATAATACCACTTTCAGGAAACTCTTGAGACATCAACTGTTGGATGTACCATTATCTTATGGTCCACAAAAAGATGCTGTCAATGAAAAGATGACATCCTGGGGCAGGGGGGGGTGCGCAGGATCGATCTGCCTGCTTGTTTACAGTCTGTCTCAACCCCACTTATAAATCTAAGTTCTCAAGTTCAAAGACCACACGACTGAGTCCCTGACCCTGAAGAGGCACCTAGGAAACCCATGTTGGATGAAGGAGTGAGTAAACAAAATGAGCGAGTGGATGAACGAATGGCAAAGTATCTTTTGCATCTCCACAACTCTATGAGACAAAAGTTATGAACCCATCTCACAGATGAGCAAAGAGAGGTGAAGAGAGAAGGGACTGGCTGATAACCATTCAGGAAGCAGAAGAAGGGGTGGGGAGGAGGATAGGGTCTGCCTGGCTCCCAGATCCTGCCCCTGGCAATGCACACAACAGAGATAAGCTCTGAAGAAAGCTCAAGTCCCCGAGGGCAGAAGCTCTGTCTCCTCTGTGCTGTGCAGGCAGCATGCCTACTCCCGTACCCCAGCCTCCACCTGCCCGTCCTCCAGATGCTCCTCACCTGAGTACTGCTGCAGCAGCCAGACCTTGAGCTCGATGAAGCTGTGTGCAAAGTGGCAGCTGTCCTCCCGCAGGCAGCCGTAGCGCACCTCGTGGCGGCACACGTCAAACTGGAAGTGCTCCTGGAACTGGCGGATCTTGGAGTACTTGAGGGAGGTGGAGCGGACGATGTGCACCAGGCACCTGGCAGGCGGGTGGGCAGGGAGTGTCCAGTGCAGCTGGTGGCCCCCACTCCCTCCCACCAGCTTTCCCTAGGTCCACTCTTCCAGGGCAGGGAAGCCTGATGGGAGCCTTCTCTCTGGGACTCTTGTTTCTAGAACATGGGTGGCCCAGTGGGTAAGAGGCTAGGTTCTACACTGCAGCAGTCCTGGTTTGAATCCCAGCTCTGTACTTTCCTCGGTGGGGCCTCCCCTCTGGCTTCAACCTGGAGCCAGGTCAGCAGAGGAGCTGCCAGCAGCAGGAGGTGGCTGGAGAAGGGAGGACCCACAAGTCAGGGAGCATGTCCCTGAGTTTCCACCTAGGTGGCCAGAGCTGGCCTGAGCCTGGAGGACGGCCACTGAGTGCACCCTACTGTCCGGAATCTGGGTTTTTCCCCCAGCAACGCTAAGAAATTCAGCTCCTCTGTAGATGGCAGGAGAGGCTGCGTGGCCAGAGGGAGAAGGGTGCGTGGCCAGAGGGAGAAGGGTGACAGCGGCAATGCCACTGCTGCTGAGGAATCAGGAGCCTCGCTGTCCTGAGCCTTCGCATCTGTAAAATGGACACCCACTCCTCAAGGAAGCCGAGACCGTCCACACGTCCCCAAGGACACGTGAATGGCGAGGTGTTCAGTGTGAGCTTTCAGCCTTCCAGACACAGGGTGATCGCAGCCCCAAATGTGGCCCCCTTCCCTGGCAGCCAGGGTCACAATGGCCTCAGCTGTTCCCCAGCCTCCTGAGCTGCCCCAGGGGACTCTCCTGCTACCCCTGCCCCCACAGTGGTAATCAGAGTGCAGGCCCACTCACTTGTTGTTGTAGAAGCTGTGCTTGGCGGCCAGGTTAGAGCAGACGGGTGGCGAGTCCTTGGTGCCTTTGCTGATGATCCGGGGTTTACTGTCAAAGCAGATCTGCCCGAGGAGGGGGCAGGCTGGGACCCCGCATGGACACCCAGGGAGGGGCTGGGCTGGGACACCACCACATGGCCACCTGGGGAGGGGCTGGGCTGGGACCCCACATGATCACCTGGGGAGAGGGTGGGTTGGGACACCACATAGCTACCCGAAGAGGAGGTGGGCTGGAACCCCACATGGTAACTTGGGTGGACAGGCTGGGACCACACATGGCTACTCAGAAAGGGGGTCAAGCTGGGATCCCACATGGTCTCTCGGGGAGGGGGTGAGCTGTCAGCCCACATGGGCATCTGGGGAGAAGGTGGGGGGTGTCACAGGGCCCAGTGGCGAAGAGGCAGGCAGGGACCCTGCATGGTCCCTTAGAGAAGGAGCATCATGAGATCCTCATAACTGTGTGAAGAAGGGGTCTCCTTGGCTCCCGGGAGTGGGTGGGGAACCCTGCATGGTCACCCAGATTGAGGAGGGCCAAGACCTTGCACGGTCACCTGGGGCAGTGGTCTGGGACCCTGCGTACCCTGTCCTGTCCTGGGTGTGGAGAGGGGAAGGAAGCTGGGTCTGTGGCCCCTTCCTGGCTGAGCTGACAGATGACCGGATGAGGCCCCAGGCCTCTCCCTCCTCTCCTCTGACCCCTGACTCCGCGGGTCTAAGGCAGCAGGTACCTCGCAGAGGAAGGTGAAAATGCCCTGGTGCTCCTTAAGGAGCTTGGCGATGGTGAGGCTGCCACGCTTGACGCCCCCCAGCGGGTCGAAGAGCAGGTCTCGGTTGAGGGTGCCCTTGCGCTCCTCGGTCCACACGTCGATCTCCTCCTGATGGTAGGCGAACGTGCAGTTATCCCCGTACTTACAGTCCTGCTTGTTAATCATGTCTGCAAAGAGGCAACAGGACATGCGTTCCGCCAGGCGGGGACAGCGGCCCGTGGGGACAGCAGCCCACAGCACCACCGCCATGGCCACAGCTCCTCCTCACTAGGTGAGGGGGGCGGGCCTGTCTCACAAGGGCTCTGAGGAGTCCTTCCCAGTGTCCTCTCTGCTCTACTCGGGGCAGGGGAGCCTTAAGCTTCACCTGCAAAAGGTAATCCTCGGGAGTTCTGATAGCCTGGTGGCAAGTAGCTGCACTGCAATCCCAGAGGTATGCGGTTCGAATCCACCAGATGCTCTGCTGGAGAAGGAGGGGCAATCTCCTCCTGTACCAGTCAGATCTGATTTGATGGTACACACAAAATAATTAAAAAAAACCCCAAAAATGTAATCCTCTTTCCTGGCGTCCCCGCACACAGTTGTCGTCTGGATCGTCAGGTAAGAAAAGGGCTTTGCAGACGTACTCCCCCCAAAACCCCCAAATCCATTGCCGTCGGTTAGCTTTGATTCACAGTGACTTTCCACCAGGTTGCTGAAGCTGTGATACTTCATAGGAGGAGACTGTCCAGCTGCTTCCCAAACAGTGCCGAGTGGATTAGAACCTGTTAGTAGTCCAGACATAAGATACTGTACCACCAGAGCTCCTTTTACGGAAGTCCACCTGCCTCTATAAAGGAGCACTGTAAGATCTGATCTGATATCAATTCCATTTCGTCCAGAGAAAAGAGAAAGAAGGAAAACAAAGACTGAGAGAAGGAGCTGGCGGGCAGTACTAACACACGGTGGCCACACGGGAACCAGAACTGGAGGTGCCCGGTCACCACCACCAACCACGGCAAGCGGGACCACAGCAGTCGGTTCAAGACAGAACAGGAGAAAAAAACGAACAAAACTCAAATTCTTGAAAAGCCTTCTCTTACTGGACCAGCCCAGACTAGAAATGCCCCTGCAATCACCCTGGGGTACCCTGTGACCACCCTGAGGGACTCTATAAATCATGCCCTGAAACGACCTGCTGAAGACATTGTTTAGCTCACTGGAAGATTGGCTCATAAGATAAAGAACATTACAAGTGAGCACTGCATGTTGTTATGTGCCATCGAGTCACCTGCGACTCACAGTGACCCTCTGTACAACAACCCTAAACCCTGTCTCTGACACACCTATCCCATTACCCCAGTCAATGAATCAATCCATCTCATCGAGGGTCTTTCTATGCTGAGCTGTCAGCTGTGGTGCTGGAGAACTGAATATACCATGAACCGCTAAGAAAACAAACAGGTTTGTCCTAGAGAAGGTTAAACCAGGCTGCTCCTTGGAGCTAAGGATTCCGAAGCTTTGTCTGACGTGTTATAAGGAGGGACCAGTCCTTAGAGAGGGACGTCATGCTTTGGAGGGTGGAGTGCTACATACATTTTTAAAACTCACCTATATGAGAACAAATGGTTAGTATGAGAGTGAGGGGAGAGGGAAATCAGATGACTGGAGGTGAAGCATACAGAACAGCAGGACCAAAAACATCAGCAGACGGTGGGGAAACATAGTATCTCTGAACAAAATGTGGTAACCGTTAAACGGGAGCTTAACCAGCTTGTGTAGACCTATGACACACAAGAAACCCGTCCTTAACTAGAGTAAGTGAGTGCCTTCCTTCATTCCCTTTTATCAACGTTCAGGTCTGCCTCTGGGCCTCACACAGGCCTAGACCTGGGCCAGGTCCAGCAGGGTGACTCTGGGCAGGCTGCTCTCTGAGCTTCAGCTACCTCTTGCATAAAATGAAGAGACGAGATTTTTACGGGGATTAAATGAGGTGACAAATAAAACACATGGGGGCCGAGACACTGGGTTCTGAGGTGAGAGGGAAGCAAGATGTGGGGCCCAACATGTCCTGCTCATGGGCCTATTCCCTCCTCTCACTGCTGCTTGCTAGCTCGGCTCTGTCCTTCATCTGCGGGGCCCTTGGAACACAAGGACATGTAACTGAGGTCATTCCCAGAGACCACCTTTAGCCAAACAAGGGGCAGGTCCATAGGTGACAGGAATGTATTCCTCAGAACATTCCACTCCACATGATCAGATGGACACCTGCCCTTCCAAAGCCGAGATGAAGAGGCAGGAGTAGAAGATCCAGAGGAAGGCCAGGGGGACCCCAGGGTGGAAATGTGGGGCTTTAACACACCATCAGAGGACCACAGTTGATCGCACGGACACTCATTTGCTCTATACATGTTCACTTAAAGCACAATAAAAAATTGAAAACAAGAAACCCAAAGACAAACATCCAGAACCACAGACAAATTACCACAGATGGTAATCAGACTTGCTACAGCTGTCCTGGGGTGGGCAGTGCAGAGAAGGGCTTCTCAAAACCTAAGGGGGGCTTAATGGAGGAAGAGAGGGAAAATGTGACAGGTTAAAGGGCACGGTGTGTGAGAAGGGGTTATAGGCATGGACAGCGTAGTTGAGGACCACTTCGGACAGAGAGATGGTGGAGGACTTCATCCCCTTGGCCGTGGGGTGGGGGGTTAGGGAGGCCTTCAAGTCCTTGAGGTGTTTTGTTAGGAAGAGCAACCTGGTGGACAATGAGCAAGTCCAGGAAGCCCAGGATTGGTAGTCATGGGTGGGGTGACTCCAGAAGCTTCTGTCTCCATGTGTGGAGCTTCTGTGGGGTGCACTGCGGAAGGCCTACACTACACAGTATCACCAGAATCGTGACAAATCTTGTTTGCCACAAAGGCGAGGTTAAAATGCTTTCTTGGGAACAGAAGAGAGTAGGGCCATAAAGTACACATGTGTGTCCAGTCACCCTGACCTGGCTCAGACGACCAGGTGTGAGGACAATGGAGATGCAACAATTAGAACGGGCTGACAGGGTAGGGTTTGAAGCACGGTGGACAACGCAGACCAATAACAAACGCCCAATACAGTCAAAGAGCCTGCAGATCGCGTCAGGCCTGGTTAATGTGAAAATGCAAAGCAACTGAGGGCTCCAAGGAAAATGACATGCTTCTCATCAGAATTTACACATGACACTGGGAGATGTGGAAGAAACCGTGCGTACTATAGACATTGATTAAATAAACAGATGAAGAGATACACAAGTCAAGGAAATGGGGTGTTGCAATGCTTTGTTCACGGGGCTGGTGGGCTAGCAGCCCTCCGTGGAGAGTGGGCTGACTCGGTTCTGGGTGGAAGTCTTTGGACAGTAGATTCAAAAGAGCAATTTGTGATAAAAACTGTATAAACTGTGATACTCGGCAAGGACCAATGAGTCTTCCAGTCCTGAAGTGAGATGATAACTTAGAAGTTCTTTGGCTAAGTGGCATTTTCACCTTTCTCCAACTCTTTGTATAGATGTAATCACAAAAATAGACGCTTTGCAAATTAAAAAAAAATTAAAAGGGCTAACGTGTGCCATGCCCTGACTAGGCCCTGCTCCACCTGGCTCTCCTAACAGTGGGCACTGAGTGGGACGCTGTGGTGGACAGTCCAGCTCTCCATCAGGTCTGACTTCATACCCAAGAGTATGAGCCACCACAGGCTCCAAATGGATGTAACATCTGAGCATTCCCTGCATCCCGATGGAGGTCACTTGGGGGGCAGGAGGAGCTTGTTGAGATGTGGTCTCAGGCTTCTCTGGCCCTTCCCCTAGAGAGCAGAAGTTGCCTGTTCTGTCTCCCTCCGAGGCTGTGCAGCACCCCCAGCCACCGCGTGGTACCTCAGCAGTCAGGTGCCATCCACTCAGAGACTGTGTGGTACCCTAGAATTCAAGCGCTATCCCCTGCCCCAGACACTATATGATACTCCAAAGGTTGGGTATCACTCCCCTCAGAGGCTGTGCAGTACCCCAGAACTCAGGTGCCATGCCCCTCAGAGCCTGTGCGGTAACCCGAGTCTGAACAGGACTAAAGCTACTTGCTTCATCTCCTGCAGAGGCTCTGCTGTGCCCCTAGACCGTGTGTGGCACTTCAGAGCCCATTATGGTACCTAAGAACGCCATTAGGATGGAGAGTCACTTGCTGTGCTCCTTCAGAGACTGTGTGGTACCTCCAAAATCCCAGGAGTGCTGAGAGCCACCTTCTCTGTCCCACTCAAAGGGTATGCACTGCCCACAGACACCATGTGGTGCCAGCCCCCTCCAAGACTGTGCACTGACCACAGACACTGTGTGGTGCTGTCCCCCTGAGGCTGTGCTCTGCCCACAAGACTCTGTGTGGTGCCGTCCCCCTCCAAGACTGTGCACTGACCACAGACACTGTGTGGTGCTGTCCCCCTGAGGCTATGCTCTGCCCACAGACACTGTTTGGTGCTGTACCTCTGAGGTTGTGCTTTGCCCACAGACACTGTCTGGTGCCCCAGAGCTCAGGTTCTGTGTCCTTCCAAGGCTGTACACTGCCCACAGACACTGTTTGGTGCCCCAGAGCTTGGTGTCATCCCCCTCAGAGGTTGCGTGGTATATCTGAGAAAGAAGACTGCCTGCTGTCCCCTCAGAAGCTGCAGAGGGACTTACAGCCCTCCGCCGCTCACCTTTGCACAGGTAGTAGGAGCCCACAAAGCTGGTCTTGGTGGGCCGGGGCCGGATGCGCTTCCACGTCTGGTCCTCAGCGCTGCGCAGCCGGCCGAGCAGCATGTCGCGCTTGCACTTGTGTTCAAGGCCCTCGCGGTAGGTATAGTCGCCTGCCCTGGGGCCTGTGGGCAGGCAAGGACATGACTCCACAGCAGGAACAGAAGTCACAGCTGGCAGGCCGTGGGTGCCAACCAGCCTCCCACTAGCCAGAAAGCCCACCGCCCCTCTCCTGGGCCTCCCACAGCACCCTCTCTCACCACCCTGATGGTGAACCTGACCTGAGTGTCCTCTCGGGAACTGGAAGGGTGCCTGGCTGAGTGCACTTCTACATCTGCCCCTTCTCTTCAGGCCCTGGACTTGCCTAAGTCTGGACTCTCCCACACCCTCTCCCATGGGACACGCCTCCCTGGTCCTCTCCAATCTTCTGACCAAGGGCCTCCTCTCCTGGACAAAGGGGCAAGGACTTGGGAGGACCTTGTGATCCTCAGAGATGGAGAACAGCTCTGTGGGGATTCCAGGTGACACTGGTGGGACCAGCACCAGGTGTGCCCCAACTAACTGGGGCCCTTGCTGGCCGCCCAGAAGTGGGGTGTGGGGACACTCAAATGGGGGAGGCAGGTGTGAGCTCCACGAGAGGATGAAGTTCCTTAAGTCTTCCAACGAGAGTGACTGCCCCTCACCTCAGCAGGTCTGGGGGCTGAGGGGTAAGGACCTGAGTGTGTGTATGAGGTGGGTGATGGGTGTTCACCCTGTGATGACTGAACTGCAAGGAGATGACCTCTAAATTCCAGTCAATGTCAACACTTCTGACATTGAGAATTCGACATAGTAAGACTCTGTCTCACATACATGGGGCATGTTACCAGGAACGGCCAAGTCCTGGAGAAGGACATCATGCTGGAAAAGCAGAGGGCCAGGAAAAAAGAGGACGACCCTTGGTGAGGTGGAATGACACAAAGAATTCTACAATGGACGTGAGCGTAGCGGACCGAAGGTGGCACAGGGCCGGGCAGAGCTCTGTTCTGCTATCCAAAGGTAAGTCTCAGAGCTGACTCGACAGCACCGAACAGCAAGATTCTTAACCTGGCAGTTGAAAACTACTGAGGATGAAGTGTGATCCCAAGAGCATCACTGTGAAGTTTGAGGACGGTGGCATCCTGGCAAATGGAGTGGCAGGAGTCTGGGTGTCTGGAATGCGGAGCAACATGTGGAACACCTGCCGGCTTGGCTCTGGGCCTCCAGCCTACTTTCTCCTCATCCTACTCACAGGTTCTGCGAGTCAAGAAACTGCACTTTCCAGTCTCCTCTGTGGCCTCGGTTCTAGGCAAGACTTAAATCTAATCAGTGTGATGTCCTCATTTGGGAGGACATTGGGCAGGTAGATAGAGGTTCCTGCGGCTAAAGCAGTTAGCTGCACCCAAAGCCTCTGTGCTCCCAGCCAACTGCCAGCCTGTAGGCGGCAGGGATGTGGGCGGCAGGGATGTGGCCAGCAGTTTCCTGCAGCTTCCTGACCTCTGAGCTCGGTCAGGCTTCTGGTTGGAGGAGAGATGGCTCAAGGCTCAATGGAGATTCCTGGCTCTGCTCCTCTCACTGTCCAGAGGTTTGGAAAGTGTCTAACTCCCGCCCCGTACACTTGCTACTCCAGTCAGTAGTGGATCCGACCTCTGTGGGGATACAGGACTCTCACGGTGGAACCCTGAGTCCCTGCGATTCCCAGCATTGCTGGGGAAGGGGGTGTGGCATCATAAAGTGCGCTCTTACCTGTCTTTGGGTAGCAGAGCTGACATGCCTGCTTGAACTCATGGGTGGCAGCCAACGGGTTCTTGATGAGCAGGGCGGTGTTGGGCATGGAGGGCTCTGGCTGTGGTGGGAGGAGGGCGACCATACTGGGTACTGGAGCAAGGCTGAGGCCACCAGGCCCAGCCTGGGACATCTGGAGTCACACTATGTCCCACCCAACCCTCCTAAAAGCAGAGCACCTACAAGTGTCTGTAACATAGCCAAAAACGGGGGGCATCAAGGCTGGCTCCATACTGGGAATATTCCAAGCTGTTGGGGTTGATGGGTGATAGTGGGCCCTAACAGAGGGCTCTGTACCCACCCCTAAGCTCTAATCCTCAACATCTGTGACCCAAGCCATTGGCAGATGGGCAGGAAGGAAGAACGACTGAGTGCCGTTCCCAGGGCCATGAGCTCGAGCTTTGGCTGAGAGTTCAGGCTGCCTAGCCCCTGGGCAGCTCTCTGGGGATTAGGAGGGCTCTAGGCCCAGGAAGGCCCTTAACCATGGCCTTGATGCTCTTTTCTGCCAGATAAGGATGAGGAAAGATCATCGCTGGCCTCCACACTAGGGGATGCATGTTGAAGGGGCTGAGGATTAGGGAAGATCATCGCTGGTCTCCACACTAGGGGATGCATGTTGAAGGGGCTGAGGATTAGGGAAGATCATCGCTGGTCTCCACACTAGGGGATGCATGTTGAAGGGGCTGAGGATTAGGGAAGATCATCGCTGGTCTCCACACTAGGGGGTACCACGTTGAGGGCTCAGCCCCATCCTGGAGCCTGCAGCTGCATTCTGCTCACCACCACCCTCGCCTTGAGTGGACACAGACCCTGTCCAATCGCTCACCGAGGGGGCTAGCTTCTGAGGGCCGCTTGGGGGCAGAGGGTCCTGTGTGCTGGTGTCCTCTGGACAGGGAAAAGAACAAGGGTCACCTGCCTGGTTCTGGAGGGCATAGGGACCACCCCTGGGCTTTGTTTATGTGTCTCCACCTCAGAGAAGCCACTAGGCCACCCATCTCCCCTACTCAGGCCAATCCAACTGTCCCTCTACCCTACGGACCACAGCCCTGCACAGAGAAACCCAAGTCAGAACACCGGCACTGTCCCACTGCCCAGTGCCGAGCTCCTCGGTTCGCCTCCCAAGTCCTCCCAGGGCCACCGTGTGCCTCCTGACATCCCCACCCTACTGTTCCTGTGTCATCTGCGCACACTATGCCCACTTCCTGGCAAATGGGAGCCCTCCTTCAAGACCTCTCTCAACTGTCACCTCTGCCAGGTGGTCTTGACCCTGAGCTGGGGAGGCCTCCCAGGGTTGTGACCTCGCAGCCCAGGAGTCCCTCTCGGCCTGCACATTAAAGGTGTTGGCGCCATGCCTCCCGCACATCTCCCCGTCCTCCCGTGGTGTCCTGGCCTTGTCAGCCAGGGGTTCTGGTGTCCTCAACAACCTGGCTCGGCTCAGCCTGATCTTGCTGCCCTCTCTCGAGCTGCACGGGCTGTAGGAGGCACATGGCACATAGAGGTGTCCTGGTCCGGCCTGGCAAGGGCAGGCAGTGTGGTCATTCCAGCTCCACTCTCACTGACTGACCTCAGGAAGTTACTCCCCTCTCTGCATCTCAGCACCCTCATTAGCAGCGAGGGGCTGCCCCGATTTCCCCAGGGAATCCCTAAAGTCTGTAGATGGGACGGTGCTCTGCTAACGGTCCCAGAGGGTGGCAGTGAGGGTGCTGGCCAGGCCTCACCCACAGAGAAGGCATCAGGCTTGTCCAGGGAGCTGCGGGCCGCTCCGAAGCTGTCCAGGGCGTCCAGCCGTGTTTCCGAGTATGGCAGCAGGTCCAGAGTGTCCAGAGCCGAGCCTGCGGGGTCGAGGGCATCCAGCACGGAGGCGGCCAGCTTCTTGGAGGAGTCCATGACGAGGCCAAAGGAGGCGGGGGGCAGTGGGCTAGAGACAGGGACGGAGCTGCCCACCACAGGCGGCAGCAGGGGGGTCCCACCAGGAAACACAGGGATCAGCTGGGGCAACTCGCTGTGCAGGCCGCCGGGCAGACCACCCTGGACCAGAGACTAGGGGACAAAGAGGAGGGTTAAGAGGAGGATCCGATCAGGAACTACGGGCTGCACGCAGACAGCTCCTTCCAGGCCTCAGAGCCCCAGCCACCCATGTGGGGGAACCCCAGGGGCCTTATAATCCCTCCTCTGTGCACCCTGCAGCTTCAATGTTTGGTTCCCTCTCTAGGCTTCAGTTTCCTTAGCTGTTGTGGCGATTCAGTTGGGCTGTGAGGGGAATGCGACACAGTCCCCAGGGAGGGGCCCAGCTGCAGAGCGACAGCACCCTCACCAGTGAGTCCAGGAGGGTGTCCAGCTCTGGACCAAAGACATCCCCGTCGGAGAAGTCATCCAGGCTCTCAGTGCTGGAGAGGGGCCTGCTGCTACTGTCCAGGGGGGCCAGTAGGTCCAGAACATGGGGGAACAGAGGCATTGTGGGGGTGGAGAGCAGGGGGGCCAGAGAGCTGTGCAGGTCTATGTAGCAGTCTGTGGAGGGAACAGTTCAGCAGTCACAGGGGACCCTGTTTACATGGGTGGCCCTGGGGTCCTCTTTGACACCTCTAGTCCCCTCAGCTTCTGCTGGGAACCCTGCCTGTCCCACTGCCCCCTAGTGGACACAGCCAGTCAAGGACATTAGCCATCTCCCACCAGCTCTCAGGAGGGCGCGCTTGGGACTAGAAATGTACAGCATCACCATCTATTGTCACATATGCAACACCCTCTAAATGACACTGTAAAAGGGGCCCTTTCTGGAAGCCAGTGAGAAGAGGAGTGCCACTAGGAGGGGCTGGCCTCTGTGAGGATGGGGACACGGGAGGATGGAGACTGTTCCCGCTCCCCAAGGGTCCTTGTGCCTCAGCCCTCACTTGCTCTTGGGACTCAGGGAGCCCAAAGGTGAGGAGTCCCTCAGAAGCACCTGACTGCAGATCTGAGGATGGGGGCTCCAGGTACCTCACTTCCCAGAGGTTTGGGGTGAAGGGCTGAAGCCTGCCCTAGGCCCCAGCTCTTTGCACCCCTTTATCTCAGGGACACTACCTGTCTCGATGTCATCGATGGATCCCAGTCCGTTGGACGTTCCCTGTGAAAACAAAAGGAAGGCAAGTGAGGTAGGTGGGTGGCTAGGCTGTGACACCCAGGACTCGGGGTGCCCCCTTCCTAGGGGCCCTGGAGATGGACAGAACCAGCTCTCGGCCCCTCAGCTGCCCTGTGTTCACACTTTGCATCCTGATTCCCACTGCCTCCATATTCTTCCAAATTAGACTCAAGAAATGCCCCCAAGAAGAGACGGAGGCTCAGGGGTGCTAGTGGCCAACACAGGGCCTGGGCCGCCCCCTGATGTGACACCAGCCAAGCTTCTTTTCCACCATATGCCTCAGTCTCCCCTTCTGAACAATGTGGCCGGCAACCAGGCTCCATCAGGGCTCTTACGGCCCTTCCCTCACTCTCCTGGATTCGCTGAAGCCCACTCAGGCCGCCCCCATGGTGAGTGGGGGGAAGCCGAGTGAGTGAGTGAGACCTCACGGGGTCTCACAGATCTTAGAGAGCTTCTCTCTTTCTCTGGCTCAGTGACAAAGCAGTCTCAGTTCATGGATTGAGACACTGAGGTTTGGAGCTCACACAGCCAGCACACGGTCAAGCGGACCCTTAACTGTCAGAACCAAGCATCTGAGCTGCCATCGACCTCACAGCACACTCCTTGGGAGGGGACCCGTGAGGAGGAAAGGCTCAGTGAGGAGGGTCCAGGGAACACTGGAAAGCAGAGCGCAGCATGAGCCAGGAGGTCCGGCCTCAGCAGAAAAGTCAGTGGGGCAGGATGAGTGGGATGGGAGAAGCAGCGGAAAGAAAGACCACGGGGACCAGACGACCAGGCTGCCAACATCAGGGTCCAAGAGTGACCAACCATGTCCACCGACAGCAGCCACAGCCTGCACTCTTGGGAGACCCCACTCAAGAAGGAGAGGACACTGTGATCTCAGAGCTCTTAGTCCAGGATGCCAGTCACGCTCCCTTCCCAAGAAAGACTTTCAACTCACAGCAATGGGACAAAGACAGAACAGTCCTTTACACCCTAAGTTAGACCCAAACAAGGCCCATGTAGCAGAGACCACGCTGATGCTGGGGACGGGGAAGGGGCTCCAGGTCCACGTCCCACCCTACCTGATCCGCCACGCCAGTCGCCGTGCCATTACTCAGCAGAGAAAAGGTTTCCAGTTCCTGCCAGAAATTGGAGAGAGGTAGGGCAAGGTGAAAACTCTGGAAAGATGCAGTGAGGGAGGTCCTGCCCTGCAGACTCCCTGACCCAGTCATGCCTCAGCCACCAAGGAAGGGAGAGGACAACAATCAGCTCAAGGTCACAGCAGGACCGGAGCCACACCTTCCCCACCTGCAGCTTCCTGCCACACGACACCATTTCAAATGCACACCCCACAGGGTCATCTTAGAACATGGGGTGGAAGGACACCAGTGTCCACATGCATGGCAGGCACCCACCCCGGCCTGTCTGATCCCAGGGCATGAGATGGGCCTGAACATTTAGGGTTTGCGATGACTTGGGGCTTGGACCACTCTTTTTCCAACAGTTCTTGAAGTCATCCTTAGGCTTCCAGCCAACAGAATGTGATGGGAAGGGTCACCTGTCTCTCTTCCCCTCATCCTGCCAGGCTCACTCCTCCCCAGGGAACCTGGTGTCTCCCCACAACCCTCCCCACCGTCACCTGGCCCCACTGTCACCAGGCCCAGAGCCACTACCTGGGGTCTCTTATACGCCTTCCGAACTCGCAGCCCAAGCTTCTGAGCCAGCTCCTGACCAAGCTGAGTCACACTGTCATCCTGGGGACGGCAAGGCCCAGGTGGGCTGGTCAGAGCTTTCGGAAGCCTTGAAGGGTGCCCCTGCCACCCCATGTCACAGATGAGAAAACCCAGGCCCCTAGTGTGACTCTGCCAAGTTCAAGTGACAATGGGGGGATGAGGCAGGGCCATGCTTCTCTTCTTCCCTTTTTTGTGGGAGAGAGCAGGGAGAGGAACAGGTTTTTTTATTTTAACACTTTATTTCTAACATTCAGCAGATGGTAGAAAGATTAAGTGCTTGATTACTAGGTTGGTGGTTCAGAACCACCCAGCAGTGCCAGGGAAGGCAGGCCTGGTGGTCGGTGTCTGAAAGCTCACAGCACGGATAGGATAGGAGCAGTTAGTTCCATAAGAGGTCCCTATGAGTCAGACCGGACTCCAAGGCAGCAAGGACAGTGGCGGGAACGGAGCCCTTTCACACAGTGGTGGGTGGGGCCTAGAGCCCAGGCTGCTCCATCTGCCCAAGTTCAGCGGGCAGTGGGTCTCGAGGGCAGGTATGGGCGTTGAGTGCACTGCTCCCGAGCAGATGAGTAAATGGGGTACATGTCTCACTGTGGGCAGGCTGAGGATAAGTGAGGCTCTGTATTGATCAATGTCCCTTCCCCATCTAGTGGCAGCTCCTGTGTCAGGGCCCACCCCAGCACACCCATCTCCCCTGCACCCCTAACTGAAGCCCTGTCCTCTGAGGGTGTAGAGGTCACATGTACTTGTTCTGGAAGCAGACCGCTTGGCGTCACCTCTTAGGTCTGGCACCTCTGATCTGTTGTGACATGCGTAAGCTACCTTCTGTGCCTCAGTCTCCTCATCTCTAAAATGGAGCCAATAATGGAAGCTACCTCACAGAGCTGCTGCAAAGATTCAGGCCTCCTTAACACCCAGTGTCGTTTTGGCAGGGCTATTACTAACATTGTACCTGCAGCTCTTTGTCAGGTGGCGGATGGGGCTCAGAAAGCAGGGCTTGGCCCGCGTGAGGGTGGGGCAGGAGGCCTGCGGCCTGGCCCGGGCCCGCTCGGTGTATCCAGTGGCACTCACGTGGGGCAGGGCCAGGGAGCAGCGGCTGCTGCACTCATACGCCTCCTTGTGACGGCCCAGCTCGTTGAGCGTCCGCGCCTTGCGGAAGAGCGCACGGATGTTCTCCCCGTCCAGGTCCAGTGCCCTCTCACTGTCCTCCAGCGCCTTCTCGAACAGGCCCTGCCAGAGAGCGGAGAGCAGAGGGCAGGCCCCAATGAGTGTCCCGGAACCCACCCTTCTCGGAGCCATGAATGGCCTCCAACCTCCCTGCAGGGGTCAGAGCCCAGGAGATGGGGTCGGGGAGAGCACAGGGCTCAGACCCTGGATCCTGGACACCCTGTGATTGAGTGCAGGCGCTGCCCATGGATTCTGGAGCGAGGGGCCTCCAGGTTCTACATAACGAGCCTGTTACTCAGATACATCGACTTCCATCGCAGTGTCTGGTTCTGAGCAACAGGACAGAGAAAGTGACAGCGCAGCACACAGGCCACAGTGGGAGGGGTGAGCCTTCCAGCCCCGTGCTTGTCATTATTATGTGCTGTTAACCGGAACCAACCCATGGTTGACCGTCCACTGAGTTTTCAAGGCTGCAGATCTCACAGGAGGCGATCATCCATCTTTCTTTCACAGAGCAGCTGGTGGATTTGAATTGTGTGTTTTGTGAGTTCACAGAGTAACTCACACTTAGGGCACCAGCACTTCCATTACAGATGTCTCATTAATCCAGAACATTCCACTCTGGACCCGCAGAGGGTCTACAGGAACACCTCATATAGGATATAAGAATGATCAAGTCTGTGGGTGAGTGGGGTGGGGAGGCTGGGGCTTTGAGGGGTAGGTAACAGAGGAGGCTGGAAAAAGTCTGGAGAAAGTGAGTCGAGGGTGAGGATGAGGGTGACAGGAGGGCAGCCCAGACAGGAGGAGCAGTGGAGGAAATGATTACAGACAGGAGGGTTCTCAGCCCTGCCTGCCGAGTGCAAGGCCCACCTGAGCCCCTGAATGGATTCATCTGGGGAGTGCGTGGACATCAGCACCTTAAGACACCTTCTTCATCAATCTGCTTGAAAAGCCCTCTAAGTGGGTCTGAGTGCCCAGGAGTATGGAGAGAGGGTGGCAGGCAGTGGGTGAGGCTCACCATGGTGAAGTAGCAGGCGGCCCTGTTGACGTGCAGCTTACACAGCAGCTCCCGAGGCAGTGCCACCTGGTCAGAGGCGGCGTAGTCCGCCACGTTCAGCCCCTCCATGTACTGCACCAGGGCCTGCTTGTAGTCCTTCTCCCGGAACAGGTCATTGCCCTCAGCAAACAGGTTCTGCACCAGCTTGAGCAGAAAGGCCTGGGGGGCAGAGCACAGAGGTGCTCATGGGGTTCACCCAGCAGCTGCAGCCCTGACCCCCTCGCCCCATCCCCACCTCACCCACACCTTCCCAGCCTGGCAGGCGTCACTCACCTCATATTCTTCTTGCTTTAGGGGTAGTGTTGACCTGGAACAGAAAGAAGAGGGACAAGGATCTAGGTCAGCTCTGGGGGCCTCTGTCTCCTCTCCCAGCCTCATGGAGGTCACAGCACTGGACGTCTGGTCAGGAAGAAGCTCCCCAACCCAGACATTAGGCATCAGGAGTTGGGGTGAGGAGACAGTAGCTTCACTTGAAATCAAAACCATGTAGGCTTCCCATTCAGCATGGGGGTGCTGGAGGGAGCTGTGCACTATCCACCATGGCCAGGCTCCCCTGGGGCACTGCTGGGGCAAGAACTGAAGGCAGACCTAGGAGGACATCACCTCCCTGCCACTGAGTCAATTCTGACCTGTGTCAACCCTACAGGACAGAGTACAGCTACCGTATCAGGTCTTCACGGATGTCAATCTTATCAAAAGCAGACGGTCTCCTCTTTCTCCCATGGAGCAGCTGGTGGCTTTGAAATGACAACTCTTCAGTTAGCAGCCCAACACTTAATCCACTCCACACACCAGCAGCGCTCCCTAGGAGCTTAGTGGTTCTGGTAGGGAGGACTTTGTTTTCCCGAATGCTAAGATGTAATCCATGGTGAAGGACTCTTTGATCTTCTACTTCAAGGTTAGTGCTTCAAGTCTTTACTTCCTGCAAGCAAGGTTGTGTCATCTGTTTAACGTAGGTTGTTGATGAGTCTTCCTTTGGTTCTGAGGTCTAATTCTTCAACATAAGCCAAAAGCCTTGAGGCTGGAGGCTGGAGGCTGAGGTGGCTGTGAGCACATTTTGGAAGCTGCCCTGACTAAGCAACTATCTTGCTGCCAACCCGAATTATAGTCTTTTGACTTCCTTAATAAGGTTCTGTTGGATCAACTTTCTTTGGAATGGGAACAAATATAGATCTCTTCCAGTCAGTTGTCCAAGTGGTTGTTCTCTGGATTTCTTAGCACAACTTGGTGAGCACATCCAGAGCACCGTCTGTTTTTGAAATATGTCAGTTGGTATGCTGTCAATTCCTGGGGCCTTTATTTTCTGACAATTCTTTCAGAGCAGCCTGAACTTCCTTCATCACCACAGCATCTTGCTCATACATTGTTTCATGAAATTCTTCTGTGTCCATCAATTTCTTTTGGTACAAGGACTCGGTATACTCTTTCTATCTTCTTTTAATGCTTCCTGAATAATTTAATATTCTGCCCAAAGTATCCTTAAGTATTGCAACTGGAGGCTTTAATTTGTTCTTCAGTTCCTTGAGCTTAAATGCTCAAGTGAGTTCACCCCTTTTGATTTTCTGACTCCAGCTCTTTGCACATTTCATTTAATACTTTACTTTGTCTTCCCCTATTGCCCTTTGCTAAAAGAACAAACAGATTCATTCTAGAAAGGGTGAGACTAGGTGCCCCTTGGAGGCAAGGATTCTGAAGCTTCATCTGACATACTTTAGACATGTTGCAAGGAGGGACCAGTCCTTGAAGAGGGACGTCATGCTTGAGAGAGTGAAAGGCAGCACAAGAAAGGAAAAACCCTGATGAGATGGATTGATTCAGTGACTGGGGTAATGGAGTAGGTGTGTCAGAGACAATAAGATTGGCTCAGGATAGAGCAGGATTTAGGGCTATTGTACACAGGGTTGCTATGAGTCGCAGACGACTCAACAACACATGACAATATAACAACATGGTTCTATGTGGTCTGTGAGCTATTGCAATGGATCTCGGACCCGGTAGAGTAGTAAAGTTGGTGCTGGGATGAGTAGAGTTGTGGGAGCATGAGAGACACGTCTGATCCCATGGGAATTGATCTTGTGGGTGTTGTTGATGGGGGCAGTTTTCCTTTGTGGACTTGGTAAAGATCAGGTATGGCTGTCCCCATGCTGCCTTTGCTCTTTTTACAACACCCCAGTGGGTAGACAGAACCACCATTTCTGAGCAATTTGTGTAGAAATTATTAAAGACAAAGCTAATTTGCTTTTTAATTTAACATAACATTAATTTATAAACATATATCATTGTTGTTAGGTTTAACAGAGTCAAGTATGTCTTACAGTGACCCTAGGAACAACAGACCTGACCCCATCCTATCCTGTGTCATTCTTACACTTCCTGACACACAGCCCATTGCTGCAGTCCCTGTGTCAACCCACATGGTTGAAGATCTTTCTCTCCTTTGCCGACCCTCTGCCTTTCCAAGCTTGATGTCCTTCTTCAAGGAACAGCCTCCTACAAACATGCCCAAAGGATGTAAAGCAAAGCTTTATCACCTTTCCATCCAAAGAGCACCCTGTCTCCACTTTCTCCAAGATATATTTGTTCTTTTGGCAGTCCATGGGATGTTCAGTACTCTTCTCCAACACCACAGCTCAAAGATATCAATTCTTCCGTCATCTTTATTCACTGTCCAGCTCTCAGATGCACAGCAAGTGACTAGAAAGACCATGACCTGAGTCAATTGAAACTTATTCTTCAAACTGACATCACTGCTCTTCAATAATTTGGAAAGGTCCCTGACTGTAGACTCTGCCAGTGCAATACATCTCCTCATTTCCTAATTGCTGGTACCAAGGGTATTGACTGTGAATCCATGAAAGATGAAGCTGTTGACAGTTTTAATCTTTTTTCCATCTATCATGATGTTGCCTATTGTTCTGGTGGTAAGAATTTCGCTTTCTTGACACTGAGACGCAATCCGTATTTGAAGGCTGTATTCTTTGATTTTCTACAATGAGTGTTTCAAGTTTTTCCCACTTTGAGCAAGCAGAGTTGTGTCATCTGCATAACACAGGTTTTTGTCTTGTTGGGTTTTTTTTTTAATAACACAAGTTATTAATGAATCTTCTTCCAATCTTGATGCCACATTCATCTTCAAAGAGTCTAGCTTCTCAAATAATTTGCTAAGCAGACAGACTGAATAGGTAATGGAGAGAGAATATAACCCTGACACACTTCCTTTTTCATCTTAAACCATGTTAAGACTCACTCTTGGGCACAACAGCCTCCGGGTCTAGGTATAGGTTTCTTATGAGCACAATTAAGCGCTCTGGAATTCCCATTCTTCTTACATTTTAGCTATAAGTTGTTATGATCCACACAATCAAATGCTTTTGCCTAATCAATAAAGCATAAATAGACATTCTTCTGGTATTTTCCACATTCAGGCAGGATCCATCAAACATCAGCAATGATATCCCTGGGGCCATGGCATCTTCTAAATCCTGACTGAACTTTTGGCAGTTCCCTATCTATGTTCTGTTTTAGCCATTTTTAAATGATCTTCAGCAGTATTTTGCTTGCATGAAACATTAATTATATTGCTTGATAGTTTCCACATTCTGCTGGATCATCTTTCTTAGGAATAAGGACAAATATGGACCTCTTCCAGGCTGTTGGCCAGACAGCTGTCTTCCAGATTTTCTGGCACAGATTGGAGGGCACACCCAGGGCTGCATCTGTTCATTGAAACAAGTCAACTGGTATTCCATTGATTCCTGGGGCCTTATTTTTTTGCCAGTGCCTTAAATGCAGCTTCCACTTCCTCCTTCATCCACCGGCTTCTGCTCATATGGTTGGCTGTTGTTGTTATGTGTCATGGAGTAGCTTGCGATTTACAGTGACCCTATGTACAAGAGCTCTAAACCTTGCTCTATCCTGAGCTAACCTTGTTGTCTCCAACACACTTTGTGTCCCCATTTTAATGTCCCCATTACTTCAGTCACTGAATCAATCCATCTCATCGAGGGTTTTCCCCTTCTGCACTGGCCCGCCACCCTCCCAAGCATAATGTCCCTCTCCAAGGACTGGTCCCTCCTTGCAACAAAGTATATCAGATGGAGCTTCAGAATCCTTGCCTCCAAAGAATGGCCTGGTTTCACCCTCTTCAGGATGAACCTATTTGTTCTCTTCAGCAGTCCATGGTATATTCAACACTCTTCTCCAGCACCACAGCTCAAACGCATCAATTCTCCTTCTATCATCCCTAGTCATTGTCCAGCTTTCTGATGCATAGCACATAATTGCAAAGACCATAGCCTGGATCAGTTGCATCTTAGTCTCTAGAATGACATCACTGCTCTTCAGTACTATGGAGATGTCCCCTACAGTAGACTTTCCCAATGCAATTTGTCTTTTGACAAATTTCCTGACTGCTGGTACCAAGAGTGCTGATTGTGTAGCCAAGTAAACTAAAGTTGTTATCAATCTTAATCTCTTCATCATCCATCATGATGCTGTTAATCGGCCCAGTGGTGAGAATCTTTGTTTTGTTTTTTTTTAGAATCTTTGTTTTCTTGATGTTGCGCTTCAGTCAACCCTTTGCACCAAATGCTTCAGGTACTTCTCCGTTTCAGCAAGCAAGGTTGTGTCATGTACATAATGCAGGTTGTTGATGAGTCTTCCTCCAATCCTAATGCCACATTCCTCCTCATAAAGCCCAGCCTCCCAGATGATCTGTTCCGCATATAGATTGAAAAGGTATGGAGATAGGACACATCTCTGGCGTACACCCCAATTTTAAACCATGCAATGTTTCCTTCCTTTGTTCTGACGACTGCCTCCTCGTCCAAGCATAGGTTTTGTATAAGCACAATCAAGTGTTCTGAGATTCCCATTCTTCTAAGAGTTAGCCATAGTTTGCTATGATCCGCATAGTCAAATGCCTTTGCATAGTCAAAGAAATATAGATAGTACTTCCTGAAATTTTTCGGTGCCAATCAGTCCTTTTTCTGTGTATTCCCTCCATCTTCTTTTGACACCTCCTGGGCCATTCAATATATAGTCCATAGCATCTTTCAATATTGCAAATCAAAGCTTAAATGATTTTTTAAGTTCTCTCAGCTTGAGAAATGCAGAGTGAGTTTTTCCCTTTTTATTCTCCAATCCCATTCTATTATAATACTTTGCTTTCTCTTCTCAAGCTGTCCTCTGAAATCTTCTGTTCAGCTCTTTTACAGCATGTTTCCCCTTTGTTTTGGTCTCTGACTCTCTAGTGAAATTTTCAGAGTCTCTTCTCACATCAATTTCAGTTTTTTCTTTCTCCTTTGTCCTTGAAGTGACTTTTTGCTCTCTTCATGGATGATATCCTTGATGTCATCCACAGCTCACCTGGACTTTGATCATTGGTGTTCAACGCTTCAAAACTATTCTTAAGATGATTTTTAAATTCCGGTGGAATAGATTCAAGATCATACTTTGGTTCTCATGACTTCCTTCCATTTTCTTCGGCCTCAATTTGAACTTGTACATGAATAATTGATGGTCTGACCCAGAGTCCACCCCTAGCCTAGTTATGACTGCTTCTCCAACAAGTCCATCTACAGATATAGTCAATCTCCTTCCTATAGAGCCCAACAGGAGAGGTCCATGTGTAAAGTCGCTGCCCGTGTTTTTTAAAAAAGATATTTGCAATGAATAACTCATTGAAAATACAAAATTTGATTATTCTATTTCCAGACTAACTTCTGTCACCTAGTCCATACATTCCAATTTCTCCATTGTTTCCAACTTTTGCATTCCAGTCTTCAATAACCATTAACGCATCTTGATTGAATGTTTGGTCAATTTCAGATTGCAAGATTTGGTAAACATATTCAATTTTTCCTCTTTGTTAGAGCATATATTTGAGTAATAGTCGTATTGACAGGTCTTCCTTGTATGCATATGGATAATATCCTATCACTCACAATATTGTACTTCATGATAGAATTTGAAATTTGAGTTTTTTATTAGGAACACAACATCATTCTTCTTCTGTTTCTTATTCCAAGCATAGTACACCTTGTGATTATCTAATTCATAGTGGCCAAAATTAGTCCATCTCATTTCAGTAATACCTAGGATGTCACTGTTCACATATTCCATTTCCGTTTTCTTGATTTCTGAAGTGCACATTTCTATTAAGTAAATGAAAACAGGCCCCTCATTAACACTTAAGATCTTAGAATTTCACTGTTATGCTATTATGTTAAGCTATTATGCCTCAATAAAAATTAATCTTTAGATTTTTTTTTTAGATTTTTTTGGGGTTTTTTTATTTCCATTCATTCATTGTTGCATTTTTCTCCCTGCCCAGCCCTCCCCCCTGCCTCCCCCAGTTCGTTCGCTCCTCTTTTTGAAAAGTAAAAGAAAAAAA